GGGAATTACAACTCAGAGGGACGCCAAAGAAATAACTTTCTTATTTACACTACAAATTTTTCCACTCAATATCTTTGTAGCGATCATCATCACCATCACACACACATACATACATACAGATCATACGACAAGAATTCGTTGGTTGATCTCAAAACTAGCTTGCTGATTGGTCAATTCCGACCAATCAAATCGCAGGCACGCGAGAAATAATTTTCCCGCGCACAAGCTTCGGAGCCTGTCACGTGTGACACAGCCTTATATAAACAAAACACGAATAAGCCTCTCTCGTGTTCACTTCATTCATCTTTTTCCTTGCTGCCAAGATGTAATCTTCAAGAGTTCCCGTCTTAACCGTGCGGTCAGACGTTAAAGATAATTGCCAACAACTCTTACCGACTTTCTCGCAAGTCGTCAGTAGAGTCCAGCTATTTTCGCCTATCTGCACAAATCCACGACTTTACTCACAGCGCACACACAGACACAGATTTTTGTATCACATTACACATATTCTTCGTTTCTGTGACTATGCCAAGTTCATGAACCAGAACTCCCTTACTTACTCAAAACAACACACTTCTTAATTAACTGTATTCTATTCTAACACCAGACTCTATTCAACATAGAATCCTGAACATTCTTATACAAGAGAAATTCTTGCCACACAATTTAAACCGTATAAAACAACTGGAAGAATGAATATAAGATAAATATCTTAATCTTAGTATGGATTGGTACTGTTGTTGATCGCAGCATAGTTTTGTTTTTCAAAAGTGGCTAAATTGTTGTAGCCTCCAATTCTTTAACCCTGTGCTTGTCCTGTGCATCATGTGTGATTTCCACGTCCGTGCATCATCTGTGGTGCACACGAGTCATGATCTTAAAAGAGTGGTAAAACTAAGGATGCTTACGAGAAGAGTCTACTATTGAGCAGGACGTCTGAGGAAAGTGTCGGAGTTAACTCCTCCTTTAGTTCGTTAACCCTTTCACCAGGGGTCTCTCTTCCCTGGCTATAAATAGTCGCTGAACTTTCGCCTCTCTCTTTTTCCTCAGGCTTTCAGCCTTACCATCTTGCAGATGTGAACGCTCACAGAGAAAGCGTTTCCCAAATGCTGGGAACACGCTAAGCACAATACACGTACGTACGAACACATACACACACACATATATAATATTCACACACACACTCTGTCCTTTGTAACTGTCCATGTAACTTGTTATTAATACATATATTTGTATACATATATTTATCGGTCTTGTGTTTGTTTTTCTTTGCCTTCTTTGGACTTAATTAAAGTCCAACTTTCTCATGTAGTTGGACCGGCTAGCAGGAAAATCTCAAGCCCCACACGTATTCTTCTGCTGCTATCAACAACATCACAGCCACGGTCCACTACAAAAGGCCTAATCTAATATTTTGTGCATCATATATGACCACAGGATGCTTGCCTGTGTTCAGATTTACAAATACTGCAAGGCAATTTGTAGCGGTATTCCTGGCCTAAATCAACCCGTACATTTTTTACTTTACGAATGTGTAAGCAAAAGCAAAAGCAACAAGAGAAACAAGAAGGTAGACAAAACAGTTTTATAACAAAACAATATTTATATTTATGATGCACAAACATAGGGGTTACCTCCGTTTGATTGGAATTAAAGTCTATACTAATGGAATACTTTTTTATCTGAGCTCATAAAATGTTGAATGAATTTGTCGCTCAAAATGTTCACTGTGAGAATGTGTTTGGTAAAATAGAACTTTGAATATTTACTTGATGATTCAAGAAGTTTCTGTTTAGTACTAAATAAAATTTAATTTTTGCAATTCTGAAAATAATTACAATAAATCTTACCGATAAAAGAAAACATTCACCAAAGAGCAAGATTCCGTTGAATAGAACTGAGTGAGAAAGTGTTATGGGACCTACCTTTATGGACTAAATGGACTCATCCTATTACTATATATACGGGGAGATTATGCCTCTCGAGAGTTGACCTGTTACAGCTAAACAGTCGAACTCTCTGCCTTCGGGTGGAGAGGAACCCGGACGAGGCTTCGCCGAAGGGCAGAGTCTCGTTCGAGGAGGTTGACTGCCCCTGAACCCGTTTATGCGGGTTCAAAGAGGGATTATTTTTGGTCGAGCCTACGGGTTCGGAGATCCCACGTTAAACCGGCCTTGTGCCACATGTAACCCTCGTTGGGGTGGGGGGTAACTAAATATCGCTGTCTACAGTTGACGAGTTGACTACTGTACTTTGCCGTCAGTCGGACGTGCAACCCTTTTGTATTCGTTCTTTTTGTCACTAAATTGCTGAGTTCGAGTTTTCTTTCGGACCTATTCTGGGTCCACAACAGAAAGTTTCTTGAATTATGTCCTAAAGAGCCGAAAATATGTTCGGAAAAATTGTAGATTCAAATGACCTTTTTTTTAAAAGTAATTTCTTGCTGGTGAAGAATTGAAAAAGCTGTAATATCCAAATTAAATTTCTTTAGCGTGGTAGCGATGTGTCCGGTTGACTTTTCTTTTGCCTCACTGTGAAAAAGTTGAAAGAATTCTGTAAAGCTGAAAATATGTGTTGATGTTTGTAATGTTTGTAATTAAGTTTCGTACGTACGTGTATGTGTGCGTGTTTGAATATGTTTTCATAGCGTCCGCCGGCAAGGGGTCGAAACGCGATTTATTAAACAGCTACATTATTTAAGAGAAAGAAATCACAAAGAAGAAAAAGAGAACGAAGTTGTGTCTGGTATTTATAATCAACGTAATCACGTGATAGGCTCCGAAGAAAGAAAGCGGGAGATTTTGACTTGGTCACGCGCTGGGTGGATTGTAGCGCCCAAACAAAATGTTTAAAAGTTGCGGTTTTCTGAAAATATGTATGAAGCTGGATAAGCTCTGTGATCCACTTTTTGCACAGATTTGCACAAAAATCGACATTGATAAAAAAAGTGGTAGCGGGATGCTAAAAACTCAGCTTATTTGGCAAATAGAATGTGCTGATATATAGTGTTTCACATAATAAAAACTTCTGTATCACATGTGATGCACAGAGCGTGGTGTAAATAACTTATGATTTGTACGTTTTTATTATGTAAGACACTATATATAAGCACTTTATATTTATCAAATAAGTTGAGTTGTCTTGCAATAGTTATACATTTGAAAACAAGCATGAACTTTTGGAAAGTAGACACGAAAATGCCCTGGACAGACAAAAGGTTAACTCAAACAAGTGCTCACTTCAACATTAACAGCTCACATTACAAAAACAGACCTTAATTTCTTCTGACTCCATCCACACACTTCCGATATACTGTCTAAAAATACTAGGGTCATAAAACATCTTTTCTGGACAATCAAAAAAGGTCCATGCAGTTTTCACAGTCGCAGTTTCTCATTATAAAGCCAACAATGACTTTATCCATGAGAGCAGACCCAACAACCAGACCGGCATCAGTGATGGACCCCATGGTAGGCAAGTTTAACCAGGCTAACAGCTGCGACAAAACCAGAAGCAACAGAGATTAAATCTCGACTACTACAATGCAATAATTCTTGGAATATTTTGTAGTGATTACTACTATGTTTGCCACGCCTACATTTTTCTCAACTGTGATTGGTCAAATAATAAATACTAAATATCACAGGACAATTTACTGATCGCATTCACCACACTGAATTTTTTCTACCGTTAACTCACAAACATGCTTTTGTTATAAAATCACCGATTGGTTAATTTTTCATCCAATCAGATAATTTTTGTGTTCTTTCAAAATTTGTCCCGCGCTCGTGCTGGGAGCCTACCGATAGTAATATAAGTCCGGATTCATTCCCAAATTAAACAGTAGAGTTGAAGGCAGTAGAACTCAACTACTCACACGCGTCTCTACACAGATTAACGAACCATTCTACTCACTCCGCACGCACACACAGAGACACAGAACTTGAATATCATTCACCATCAGTTCTTTGTGAACAAGCCAAGTTGCAGCACTTCTGTTAGTTATACAAAATATACAATTGAACTTCCTGTATGTTTTTCTGAATACACATTTTATTTCAATACAGAACTCTGAACATTCTATTCAGAAAACTTGCTTAATTACATTTCCTAATTCAACTAACAGATAAGGGGAAACTACTTTTTTCTCCTTATTCACACATTACAAAAATTACCTTGTATTTGTTGTTGATTTTAATTTTATCGTTGAAACACAAATCGGTTTTTCATTGTTTTTCCTTGATTTAAAAAAAATGTTTAAATGTTAAATGCTCTTCAACACGCAGCCACATTAATCTTTTCAACAAAACACCATTTACATTGGTAACCCCAACACTTAAGAAAATAGCATTTACAATTTCTCCCACAGTTCTATCTCACTTGACTATATGATTTCCTCAATGTATTTATCGTGACTATTACCTTGTGTTACACCACGAACAAACTCTCAGTCTCCCACGACTGATATACAATATCTCGGAGTAATCGAACCTTGTATATCACGGGCAAAATAAACACCGATTTACACATTTCAACCATAACTTATCTCCATCTTTTGTTTTTAGCACTTGCATTTTTTTCTTGTTACCGTTAAGGCTGCTGGTGCAAGATCAGCGTTACTGAATCTTCTTGGCCATTCTTGTAAGATATCTTGAGACCAAGATACACAAAATCAATCACCTGATCAAAAAAATTTAAGTATATTTAATAACTGCATCTTACTAACATTTTTATTATTTATTTATTTATATTTAGTAAATAAATTATTTAGTAATAAAGGGAAAAGTTAAAGAAAATTGAATAAAAATATTCGATTTTATGATAGCAAAATACTTTACAATATAAAAGAAAAAAATTAAAACTTATTTTAAAATAAAATAAATCATTTAATAAACCACTGTATCTTTCTTTATTTTGTTGTCCGGTTCTGTTGTAAAGCGTCACCGGACCGGAAGTAGATAATAATGAACGCAAACAGTTACGCAGTTAATGATATAAAGATGGCAGCTTGTGCTTTACAAAGTACTCTTTCTCGTCTCTGCCGAAGATATTCTTCACCCGTTTTAGGCTCGTTGTCTTACCAGATTCGTCGACCATATGCTCAAGTAGCAGTAAGTACAACAGTTGCTCGAAAAAGGAGTTTTTTCCCGACTCCTGGCTATATTTGGACAAAAAAAAAAAAAAAAGAAAAAGATCCATTTTGTCGTCATTGTGTTGTAAGTCAACAAGTCACTTTCACACGTGTAGTTTTTATTTCAATAACAAACAAATACCAAGGTGGATTTATATAAAATCATTTATAACTTGAATGTAGAGAATGTTTGGAAGGAAATGTTAGCATCAATAATATTTTAGATTAGAAGATTTTAAAATGCATATACATCCTCCTAGCAAGGTTACCTGGCCGGCGTTGTTTTGGCAATAAGGCTGTTTTTGTGAGTTTAAAGATGATTTTTATTCAAAGTTTTCTCCCTCCCCCCTTTTTTTTCTTTTTGCAAAGTGTCCCCAGGGTCATTATCTGGTGAATGAGGTGTCCCCAAAACAGAAGTGTCAGGGGGTCTTCTTTTTGTCCCTGTTCCTTTTTTAACAGCTGGAGTTTCACTTTAAGCTGGACCTTCTGTCATAATTCGAGTGGGTGCACGTCGGGTAGATCCACAAGAAGACCTTCTTCTGGAGTGGGCTAGGGTCATTATCTGGCGCTGGAGGCATCCCCCAGAAAAAGTGAAATTCGGAGTGGGTGGGGTGAACAATTTTTGTTCTTATGTACACATAGGCTACCTACCACTTTAAAAACTTGACCTTGTGTCATGTTCCGCTTGAGTGGGCGTGCAGAAATGCTTAGACTGATCCACCTGTAAAAATTATGGAAAATAAATAATTTTTGTAGATTTATTATTTTTCCTTAAGTTGCGATATTTGCCACAATCGAAAAATAATATTGATTTTTTTTTTTTAAATCGATTTAGAAGGGGGTCCTCCTGTTCATAATATCGTTACAATGTCAAATCAGTCCTCGATTTTTCTTCTGCGTCCAGTTTTTATTTACAATCGTCGTAATTTGAAAATAAATTATTTACGTCATTGATGCCTGCATATTTTATTTATTTTGTTATTTATGTAAATTTTTGTCTTTTGAAATGTGGTTCTACTTTAAAACTTTAATGATAAAAAATCATTTTGTGAAAAAATAAAACTATTTCACAAAAAAATTGCTTCTTTAAAAAAATAAAACATGAAAAAATGATTCATTTGTTCTTTATAAAACATTTTTATGAAAAAAAAAATATAAAAAAAAAATAACAAAGCATAGTTTCAAATTTTAAAAAAAAACACAAAAAAAAAACTGCCAGGCCATTAACTTTTTAAAAAGTTAGTGATTGATTTTATTTTTACAGTACACTGTATTGCTATTATAAAAAGGACCCTTCTTCTAAAATCATAACCAATGAATGTTTTCTTGATTTTGATAAGCATCGTAGTTTAAAGGTGGTGTTGTAGTGTCCTTTAGTAGAAGTAGTAGCTCAAATATATAAACATGTGAACCCTAAAGTAACTTGCTTTTCCGAGTTCCTTTTTTTGAACTGCTGACGTGAACTTTCCACGCTGAAACTAAAAAAGGTGTGAAACACTCCACACTAAAACATACCCACTTTAGTTCTTTAACAAAGGAAACACTTTTGTTTTAATAAATTTTGCATTGCAAATCAATTGGTCAGTTATTTTTGTGCATGTATTGTAATCTTTACACCGCCATTATTCCTTGTGCTAATAAAATATTCCTGTAAGAAACCTTACACATTTAATTATTAAAGTAGCTAATCTGCAAAAGATTATTTCTTTAAAATTTTTTCATTTCTTTTTAATTTTTTTTTTTCACTAGTGGATGAGTTTACATAAGATAAATATTTGTTGTTTGTTCTGTAATGGAAAGAAATTTTTTTTGTAAATAAATACACCATACAAAGAATTGCTATCACCTGTTTTAGAGAAATTTGTCATTGCTAGAAATTGAAATGTCACCAATGTAAGCCAAAACACGACATTTACAAATTCTGTTAATATAACACTGAAACATCATTGCTGTACATGTTTAATCTGAGAGGCATGTAATAGATGAGTCTTCGTTCAAGGAGGCTCCTTACTTTGAACGTTTATTGGGACTTAAGCTCTCTCAAGACCTCAAGTGGAACTCTTATATCCAGTCTGTTGTTAAAGATGCTGGAAAATAATTCATTGTCCCATTCCTATAAGTATCTGACTCCCCAATGATCTTTACAAGAATCAGATCAGACCAAAAAATGTCCTCACTTGCCTGTCTTGATAAAGTTCAAAAGCATCTCTACATCCTTGTGGGTGATGAATTATTTTCCATCCTACAACCCATTTTGCAGACGAAACATGAGCCTCTTGCTGCTCTATCATTTTTTTTTCCATGGCATGTGTTCTTAGCTACAATTCTTAGTCCTGACCACATGCTGACCTTTACAACTGGGACCCGACATGCCACATACACAAGTTTGAATCATCCCCATTCCCTTCTTATTTCTCTTAGTAAGCAGGATGTTTTCCTAATCACGACAATCTTGATCTTTTCAAGTCTAAGTTTAACCATTATCTGTCCTGAATAACCCCATGAACTTCACTTCTTGCCTGTTCTTATAACACAACATTACACAATAACCCTCTACCTTGAGTGGCTCTTGGGCCTTGAACTGGGTGAACATTTGTATTGAAAAAAAAATTATATTGAAAAAAAGTCCAAATTTGTTATTGCAGTTTTCCAAATGTTGTCTGTGAGTATTTTGGTTTGGTAATAGGTAGAAATTAAATCTATTTTAGTGAATTGCTGTTTGTTTAGAAATTTGGATAAAAAGGAGTTAATATTTGGTATGGGGGTACCGGTCACTCTTGGTTAAGCTCTTTTGAATCTCCACAACAACATTTCCTGTTTTGTCTTAAAACAGTGGTTCTCAACCTTTTTTTACCCATGGACCCCTTTCCCCTTCTTTTTATCTTGGTGGACCCCTTCATAGCTATTGGACATAAGAACAATTTTCTATTCTTCACTAATATAAATTTTAAGGTTTTAATTATCAAAGAAATAGTATACGATTAAGCTTTTTTTTAAAATGAAAACTAATTTAATACAAATAAAATATTCTACTATAATTATAATAATAATTATTATTACTATTTTTAATTAACACAACAATTGTGTTTTGCCTGTGGACCCCCGGAAATATTACATGGACCCCTAGGGTCCATGTAGACCCCGGTTGAGAACCACTGTCTTAAAACAAGATGATGTTGACTCCTTCATTTAAATTTGGAAAGGGGAAATCACTCTGTTGTTATTAAATAATTGCTCTGTATTTTGGGGAGTTTCCAAACATATAAATATAATGTACCAAGAGAAATAAAAGGAGGAGTGCAAAATAATGTTCACCATTTTATTAACATGGAATATTTAAGAGCCAAAACATTACATAAACATAATTACAAAGAGTGATTGTCATTCTTAGATAAGATTTCTACCTTTAAGTCAAGGTGAGGCCACTGATTATTAATATTTTTTCTTACCCCATTGTATAGTTCTTATTGAACAAATGTCGGAGTCTGGATATTGGTCATGACAAGTCTGGTATTTATAGTGGATGCTAACACACTCCTGAGCAACCTATGTTACCCTGCTTCCCCTAGTGGGTCTTTTATTCATCATATATGAGTGTTCTTGCCTCAGTACCTGAGGTCTCAGACAGTTACAATATTTCTGATTCAAGAAGTACTATTGCCTTGATTTCTAGATAGATGAGACCTGTACACTTGGGGTGTGTCACACCTGTATCTCCTTTCCTGGATTATTTGTTCCTTCATTAAGAGTGGTGGAAGTAAATGTTTTCTGGGTTTAGGGGTTATCCATCCGGTAGTCAGGAATCCGAGCCTTTGAATAACTTTGAAGGAGGCTATTGTACTGTCATTTTGTGAATAGTTTCTGGACTTTGCAGTAATCTCTGGTGGGGTCTTTCATTGCCATGATGAAGGGTACTGTTATGGTTGTACTTCCAGGTAATGTGTCTCCTGTGGATGTGACCCTCTCGTTATCTAGTTTTCACCTGGACATACTGATTTTTAAACATGACAACAACAAAATTGAACAAAAAAAAAAAAAAATCAAACTCAACCACACAAAAACAAAAGTAGACCCTCAGGCTCATCATCTCCTACAGCAAGTTGAGGTTCCAATTTTTCAGAAGTGGAGCTCCATTTTCTTATTTCAAAATCTGACCTCTTACTTCTGTCCTAAACTGGTATTGATCCAGATATCCTAGTGAAGAACTCACAGTTCCAGGCTCCTCACCTCTAATAGTAAAGTATGACGATCAAACTCACTATGGCCACAGACTTGGTACCTATATTAAGGACAGGTTGTGACAGACACCCTTAAAACTAGGACCCTGATCTTCTATATATGGGCTTCCACATGGCATTTGTCCACAGTACCACTTTCATTTTCACTTTGTCATCCTCCAGATGATGGAACTAATGTTTGATCAAATAGCTGAGACAATTGATAATGTCTTTACTAAGTATCTTTCAGCGAGCTTTCATATTTGTGGTGACTTCAATATTCACCACAAGAAGTGGTTGGTTCATGAACAAGACTGATGAAGAAGGCAGAGGCTGCTGATACTTCTCCAAGCTGACAGAGATCATTGAAGAACCCACTCCTGTTCCTGATGTAACAGGACATCAGGTGAACCTCCTTGGCCTCTTCCTCTTATCCTACTCTGAAAAATGGTTCACTGAAGCCCCCTCCCCCATGGTTATTTCAAATCATTCACTAGTCAGTGCCAAACCAAAGGCACCCCATGATGTGCCATTTCATAGAACAAGTTTTTAGTACTTGAAAGCCAGCTGGGACAGCTTCAGATGTTATATGGTGGAAGCTGGTAGAGTTATGGATTGAGGAGCCGAGTTTGAATTCCAGTTGAATCCATTACATTCACTTACATGCTAATACCCTTGGGAAAGGTATGAATCCTCTTCTTCTCCCTTCAGCTATGGGTAAATAGCAGGACAGATTGGGTTCTATAGCCATGGATGGCAACTGGTCTACCGCAGAAAGAAATGGCAACCTACTGCAGGAAAAAAGTCTGCCTCATCAGTCATGTCATGTATCAAAAGGTCATCAAGGACATTCCCAAAAGGGACCGTCATGCTCAATATGTCATTTCATGCATTATTTTCTTCTTGCTGTGTTTTTCTTATGATTTTATACTTTTTGCTATTAGATTTAACTAAATTTTGATTTTGGTGCTTACAGGTTGCTGGTCTCCCAAGTTTTGTAAAAGTCGTAGAAGTTGGTCCGCGGGATGGATTGCAAAACGAAAAGGTGAGTTATTTATTTTTTTTTTTTTTCACTGAAGATCAAGTGACAGCAAGTCTTCTCAGTAGTTGAAGACTCTCCTCAATATTCTAGCAGATTTTCAGTAATGCTGTCATTCAAGTTTCTTTATGTCTGTTCACAGTACTCTGATAATGTTGAGTATAACCACCTTCATTTCCTACAGTGTTCTATTTTTATTTTTCCAGATTTTTACTCTCTTTCAGTTTCATTCCGTCTGTTGGAATGATGACATTCATTGACAGAGATGATGTTGGTTTACAATGTCTAGATCTTGATGTCTAGCCTTGATTGAGTGACCCACTTGAATTTCAAAGTTTGTTTTCACAACAGTTTCCTTCATGGCACAATTATTTTGTTTCAGTTTATTAAACTCATGCTCTTATTTGACAAGATGAAAAATTCCCACTGGCATAACTATATTGTAGGCATAAAAAAAATAATTATGCTCCAAAATTGAAATGTTGGGTAAAAGAAGACTGATGTAGTCAGCGGCTAAAAATAATACATGACTTTTGATTTTAATAATATATTGTGAACAGTAAGTCACGGTTTTAGGTGAAAGAAATTTTCTCACTTTTGTGGAGTTAGCCCACTTACTTTCCTTAAAAAAAAAAAAATGCCAGTAGGGACTCTCCTTAAGCCTATAAATAGGCAGTGACATTCTCTGTCATTCTCTTTTTTCCTTTTTTCTTTCAGGGATGGTAAGATGTAGTCGAACGAGGAAAACACTTTCCCACTGGGGAGCACACGCACATATTTTACTTCATTTTTTTCTAGGACTTTCTACTACACCAAACTACACATACACACACACACACACACACACACACAAACAATTAAATAGTTTAAATGTTTTCTTCATTCATAGTCATTGTTTTGTAACATGCAACAATTGCCTATTGTCTATGTATACCTTTATTTTGTTAATACATACTTATCATTTGTTTCTATACAAAGATTTGTTGTTGCCACATACCAAGTTTGCCATTTTTGTTGTGGGATAAATATACTAGCAGACACGTTTTTTCCAACCTGAACTCTTGATCAGCATACTTCCACAACACATTTGTATTTTCTTCATAAGCTCTATATCTGAATCTGTATCCACTAGAGGATGAAATCAATGAACCCTGTTCAGAATCCAGTGGAAGCTGCTTCCATGCTAACAGCTATGATCTAAATGGGCTGACTGCAAAATTAAGATTTTGACCATTGCTGTTTTGATACCAAACTCTGTTGGATCCAGGTTTGTAAAGATAAAAATAGAGATGTCCCTCGAAGACCAAAGTACTTTTGTGTAGCATGTTGTTTTGTGTGAGAAAAAGAAAACAAATCAAAATGCCTCTCCGGTGGATGATGTCTGCGGACTTGTAAATCAGTTTAACTCCATGCCAACTGCAGCAGCACAGATGTCACTGAGTTGAATAGACTGCTTTAGAAAATATACAAATCAATTTAGTTGTTGGTGGATAGCAGTTGAGTAGATGGCTTTAAAAACTGTTGACTTTTTCTACTAGTAGTAGTAGTAGTAGTGGTAGTAAACTGTAAAAAGTAGTAGTAAACTGACCTAAGGTGGCTGCGAATGAGTGAAGTGAACATGACATTTTAAGAAATTCTCTTTGTCCTTTTACAGTTGAAAAAGGAAGAGGATGAAAAAAAAATAGCATCAATTCTATTCAATTTTTAAAATTTATTTATTTTGCACTTATTGTACCTATGTACTTTCAAGGGAGGCAGTTATAACAGCAAATATCATTTGCTTGAAAACTGGCTTCACTAAAACCATTAAAGTTGAATTTTTCACTTTTTCAAATGGTTCATTTCATCAAAAAATCAAAAGTTAGAAAATTAAAAGGAGAAAGCTTTTATATCTGAATAGTGCTTCTTTAAATTATGTATCATTAAAAAATGTTGTTTATTGTTGCAGCAAACCTATGGATGATAATGGGTATGTTCCCAATCACATAAATACAGTAGTAAATACTGTATATTGGTCTGCAGTTGGAGATTTGTTTCCAGCTGTGCTGGTCAAACTCCCTGCCTTTGGTCAGAGAGGATCCCCAGATGAAGGGAAGAGTGTTGTCTTGGGAAACAGCTACTTGACCCAGTTTTTATACAGGGTCTATGGTGAATTTTTGGACAAACCTACAGGTTCAGATACCACACATTAAATTCGGTCTTGTGCCACATCTGACTGCGTGGAGCGGTTGGTAGATATCCTACATTTGGAAATTCATTGTGGAATTCACTTGACTCACTTCTAGTAGTTGACTACTACTTCTACAAAAAATTAATGCAATATTCATACACAGAAAATAATTATTCTTACAATCCAAGAATATTTTTGCTTTAAATAACCCACAAAGTCTTGATAAGCTGTAAAAAATAAAAAAAATCAATTGGTTACTTGACACATTGTTTCTCAACTTCCTTTAACCCTTTTTCTCTCCTTTCCAAAAAAAAAAAAAATCAAAAGAAAATCTGATGTTTGATCATTAAAATACACATTTTTGGGGGAGCTGCAAATTTTTCAGCACCCACCTTGTAAATTGCTATGATGACATGTTCAACACTGTTTCTGTGTTGCAGCTCTTAGCAAACAACATTATTTTCTTGCCTGTATGTTGAAATATTCAAGGTCTCACCTTGAACATGTTAAATACTTTTTCAATCTTGACTTCATTATTTTTATATTTCGTTTCTTTTTTTTCTTCAGACAATTGTTCCAGCAGCAACTAAAATAGAATTTATCAACAAGTTATCTTCAACTGGCTTGTCTGTCATCGAAGTAACCAGTTTTGTTTCTCCAAAATGGGTTCCCCAGGTAAAATACAATTGTTTTTTTTTTTTCCATGCATCATTTGGACGAGTATCTTCATCTTTTTTGTTTTTATCATTACATTTTAACTGATTTGTTCATTGGATTTCTTCAGGTATTCATTCATCTTTAACTGTTGATTGGTTCTTTTTTTCATTCTGTCACAATCACAGCAACTCAAGATTATATCAAGATAAGTGTGAAAGAAAACTTAAGCCAAGATTTTCACAATGAATTTAAAAAAGAGGTTTATCGATAAGTTAATGTTGAGGAAAAAAGCATTTATTTTTACACAGCAAATTTTTTTTTTTTTTTTTCAACATAATCTTCTTCCTTACCAACAATGTTTCCTTTGAGAGAGTATGATATATAAACTACATATAAGACTAAAATATCCAACATTTTAACAGCAATTATTAAGAAAGGTGATCTGCTGCATGATCCTTGATTTGATTTTATTGTGGAAAACTCGGAAATATTGCACTTCTGATATAATTTCATCTTTTATAATTTACCTTCTCTCTTAATTTTGACTTAAAAAGTGCAGTTTTAATTATCATCAAACTTGCAATGTTTTTTTGGTGGGGGCAGTGAATTTTAACAGGTTATAAGTAAAAGCTATAACTGCAACTTCCCATCTCTCCCTATTCTAACCATTTTAAATTTTTAGTGTTTGATGCAATTAGATGCACAACATAGCCAACATCATTCATCTTCCTGGATTTACTTTACTGTGTTAGACTCAGAAGTTAATGCAACATTACATTTTTTTCCTTAATAAATTACTTTCTCTTTTAAGTAAAACTCTAATTTAAGCCTCCTCAGTGTATAATTATAAACAACATTTTTTTGTTTCTTTCCCTCTCTCTACCCATATGATTTTATCAATAAAAACATTAGGCCAAAGAAGTCCTTTCGAAGGTTTTCCATTTTGTCATTCATTTATCCGCCATAAGACACCTTGTCAATTTCAACAAATTATATATATATATATATATCTTATATTATTTTCTATTTTATTTTTTTTTGCCCGAGGAGACTGAAAGATTGAAACCAAGGTAGCATAAATGGCTGATCTCCTATTTTCTTTATATCAGCTCAGAATGAGAAATTACATGCACTTAATGTGAGCATGTATCCTTATCTTCTCTCACATGAACACATTGTTTGGGTGAATATTCAGACTGGGCCATATAACTTTGGTTGGCAACCAGTCTAGGAAAAAGACAAATATGAATTACAAACCCTAGGTGGGTCATTTAGAGACCTTGTGGCATAATGTGCGTAGTTGATTCTGCACAGGCCTTCACCAATATAATCAAATTATGTGCTTTTATATGTTAACTTTTATCGCATTGTGTGTATTCACATGTGTTTGTGTTTTATAGTTTATAATTTTAAAAAACATTTTACTGAAATGTATATTTTACCAGGAAACATTGATGTCTGGATAAAAATTGATATTTAAAAGTTAAGTAATCTTTTCATATAATATCATTTCTGCTCTATTTTTAATATTATTTTAATGTTTTTAATATTGAGCACTATATATAAAAATATCTGCTGTATCTTAAATCTTATATATGTTTATGAGCTTTTGTTTTTTCTTATGTGTCCTTGGTTAGATGGGGGACCATATGGAGGTGATGAAGGGTATCCAGAAGAACCCCAATACAACATACACTGCGTTGACACCAAATCTGAAGGGATTCCAAGGAGCTGTAAGTAGACTGACTTCATTTTTATGGGTACAAGTGTTTTATTTTTTTATTTATTTTTTTTTTTTCAATTAGTTCACTCCAAGTAAGACGGAAATGCTACCAGTATGCAGGGAGTTTTAGAGAGTGAAAGTTAAAAAAAAAAGACTGAGTATAGTAGGGATTGAGGAAAGAATAAAAGATGAATGGGATTCAAGAAGATAGAAGATGGCGATTGACGATGCATTCACATTTTTGAAGAGTGTAGTTATCAGGAAAGCAAGTAAACAGAAGGGTGTTCCACAGGCAGCAAATGCAAGAAAATAAGCTTTTGGATTAGAATTGGCAGTTACATTTAACTATTTTGACTGTAAAACGGTGGGACCTAGATGCCAATCTAGTAGCAAGCTTAAATTCATGTAGTCAGAGCACCAGGGGAAAAAAGCTTGTTGGAGCAGTTGCCATGAAAATATTTGTAGAAAAGACAGCATGAAGCCATATCACGTTGGTGAGAAAGTGACTGAAGTCGAAATGCCAAGTTAGGATAGATTACATTGCAGATCCTTCTTTGGATTATGTCAAGAACCTTTAGATGAATAGCAGAAGCACCAGACCAGATATGGCAACAGTATTTACTGCATGGACGAATGGTAAATATGTAAATCTTCAAGATGGACTCTGACGAGAAAAACTGATTGAAGGTCCTTGACAAGATGTCCCAACCAGGTTAACTTTATAAATGAGTTGATGGATTTACTATTGAGACAGCAGTAAATCCAATAGTTCATCTGCATAAATGACCTATTGTGGAAACTTTATCAGGGTCCTCATTGATGAAGATCATTAAAAAATGAACCCCCATTATTAAGAGCATCTCATTTAAATATCCCATTTGAATGAAAAGGGTAAAGAATATAACCTCATTAATTTAAATTAAACTAAAATCATTCGCCACCATCCTCCAGTCTTGGTTAAATTAAAATATGACAATTAGTAATTAAAGTAATTAAGCAATTGGTATTTAAATGTTATCTACTTTTTTTATTTTGACTGTGGGAAAGGAATGTATTATTCCAGTGTCTTATTTACATGTAGACTGTTGTTATCACAATGTTTCAGCCATTATGATCTCTGGCCATCATCAGGTGTATGTTAATCCAAGTAACCTAAAGGGAATAGGTAATACTGAACTGATCCCTTAATCTACAAGGGTAGATTGTTCTCATTCCACTGTTCATATCTAGGGATATCTCTTCTAGTTCTTATTTTTTTAGTACTGCTCCTTTTTTGCTCTAAGCAGTTAGCATTCTGGCTGTCAAACTGCACAATTCCAACACTGCGGCAGTACCTCCATCAAAAGGATTGGCAGTGGAATATTGATGTCAATGCAACAGTGGTTGCAAGGACAGGACAATTTATGATCTTGGGCCATGTGTATGTGCACATTTAAAGGGGCCATTTTCAGCCACCGAAAGTGGGGAGGAGTAAGTAAATAATAGTTATTTAGGTTTCTGAGGAAATGTTGCCAGCAAAAAGTGTGTGAGAAGAAACTTTTAGCATAGAACTTACAGTTGTTGCTATATTTACACTTTTGACACTTACACAAACTAAACCCATGTCTACCTTTTTGACTCGCAGTTAAACTTTTTAGTAATCTGTTGGCTCTAATTCCAATTGGAATAATTGCAAAATACTTTCCACTCCCCATTGTTTAGGCAGAAACACACAAATGCATGCTGGGATTTCTTCCTAACCAATAAAGTAGGCCAGTTCTTGGTTTCATATGACTCATTCCCAGTCTGTCTTGTCTTAAAGTCAGAACACTTTGTTCACTTATCCAAATTTGCTCTAGTGTATCAATCCCAATTCTTAGTTTGTGAACTTTTTGTCATATTACTGTTGCTTTGTCTTATTACTGTTAATTTGACTTGCATATATTGTTTACTTGCTTTATATTATCTTTTGCCCTGTTCTTTTCTTTTTCTTGCTATTGTTTATTATGGATTTTGTCAATTCTCTTTGGCAGTTCTGCCTTTTATTTAACCATGGCCACTCACTCTGCATAATCATTTCACCCTAAGCAGACAATAAAGCCAGCCACTTAGGGGTTACTAAATATGAAAGAATAAGAGAAAAAGAAAAACTACTATTTTCTAGAGAGAAAAATAAAAAAATTAGGAATTAAGAAGAAAAAAATAACAATTGACATTTAGGTTTAAACTTTTGAAGATCAAAGTTTTTGTCAAAAACTGGGAGAGGTTCCATAAGCAAAAATTTGTTTTCAAGAAACTGTTAATAGAACTTACAGTTGAATTTTTAATTTTAACTTGTTCAGAGAGGTGCAAGAAAAGAAACTATTAAGACAAATTTATGATTCTAGCTAGATAGTTCAACAGTAAAACGATGAGACCTAATTGCCAATCTAGTACTGCACTGAAATTTGTAAAGTTGAGGTACCAAAGAAGAAAGCTCATCAGAACAATTACAATGAAAATTTTTATAGAAATGGCACAAGGAAACTGCATTATGGCAATGGGAAAGTGACTGAAACCAAGATGCTATGTCAGGACCAATAACATTGCAGATTCTTCTTTAGATTTTATCAAGAATCCCTAAATACATAGCGGAATGGGACCCATATCTACCTTTTTGACATTTGTATTAACCAAACTCTTGTCTGTCTTTCTATTGTATGACAGAATTTGGCATTAAATAATCTGGAAAAGGTTGATATTCTGTAAGACAAAAACCAAACCAATCAAATATAATAGAAAGTATTTCTCGAATTTGAAGAAGTATTACCTACAGTCTATCATTCCTAAACATTTGTCACAGATTGGTGTAGAGCTGTAACCAATAAAATAAGTCCACACTGATCACGCCCATTTTTCTGCAAGTATTGATTGGTCAGCTCTAATGAATGTGATAGTAGAGATGGCCCTCGAGATTTCCCTGACATAAGTTGTGGATGATTTTACTAGAATAAGTTTTTCATTTTAAAATAGCACTTGTATTAGTAAATCATTATCCCCTCCAAAATTCTTACAATCTGAAAATATTTTCTGACTTTAAATAACATGCAAAAGTTTGATAAGTTCCAAAAAAAGTGAATCACCTTAAATAGCACCAAAAAGTAAATTTAATTCTGATTTTATGAGATGGAATCCATCAATATCACATTTGAATCTGTGCTTTTCTTTTGTAATGATCTAAATTTAAAAATCCAACCTTGTATTTTTTATTTCATATTCCATAAACTCAGGTAAAGACAACAATTATTTCTTTTTTTTTTTTTTTTTTTTTTTTCTTTCAAGAAGACCAATGATAAGGCTGTTCTGATTAACCTGACTTTTCATTGTTTCTTTGGATTATGTCTGTAACTATAATTACCATCAATATAATTCCCATAGAATTGTATTATATACCCTATCTCTTGATATGAAATATTTTTGAGTTGGTGTCGTATAATGCCGGAATAGACATTGCACATAATTCACGCTAGATATCAGAGAAGCCTTGTGCACCTAGATATTGACCTGGGGTCAGTGCCAGCTGCTGAATAAAAATGCACATGATTGCACACTCACATCCAGTTTGTAAATGTGGGAAAGATTTTGCATTACACACATTTATATAAACAAATGCTCTCTCACACATCACAGAAGGAGAATGTGAGGTCCAGGTATTAGATCCAGGCAACAAGCCTGAATAAAAATTAATGATGGCTCAAGTCTTGTGTTGTTTAATTGACACACTCACTTTATTATATTGACACTAATATTTAAAGAGCAAAGTTTGACTGAAAAAATTGCACAACCTTTTCTTTTTTTCTTTTTCCCCGCAACACAACATGTTCAATTCAGATTTGTGGCTTCTGGGATGGAGATGCTAATAGAAATCTAATGAATGACACCTGTAAATGATTCTAGCTATCTAACAAAGAATTTTCATTTGCTGTTTTGCAGCTGCAGACAGGAGCTGATGAAGTGGCCATATTTGGTGCAGCATCCGAAACATTCAGCAAGTGAGTGTAAGTTCTGGAATTTTTATTGCACAAAAACTGACGATTCCTACTTGAGGTGATTTCATGGACATTCTCTTGTTGAACTAGTTTTGTTTTGTTCATTATTTAATATACCATTTTGCTGCAAAAGATTTTGGCATTTTTGACAAAAGTATTTGTTATACACCAACTTTCTCAGACTAGGGTTTTCATTTTAGTTGTTATAACAGCCAAGGTGAGAACAATAGTCCATGTAAATCAGTGCGTAATAATAATCCCTCATCTGAAATATTGTGATTCTAACAAATGAAATGAGAACAATGGTCTGCGTAAATCAGTGCCTAATAATATTCTCTCATCCCAAAAATTTAAACAAGATCTTTTATTTCTATGAATTCATTGCATCAGTCTTTTATCAAATTACCATATTTTTAATATTACAATTATGTAAAATAATGTAAATTTGTGGTGTAATGTATATTAGCTTGGAATGAGAAATTGGAGAACCGAGTTCTAATTCCAGTTAGGTTTGTTACATTCACTTATGCGCAAATACCTTTGGGAACAGTATGAATCCATCTTTTCTCCTCCCAGCTATAGCTTAAATAGCAGAAAGAACTGGGTCCTATAGCCTTGGTTGGCAATCAGTCTACCGTAGAAAGAAACAGCAGCCTACTGCCAGAAATCTTCTGCCCAGTCGGTGATGAATCAAGAGACATGATCACCCAAGGATGTGTCATGTATGGCACTTAATTGACTGAAACTTGTTCATCTCAAAGAGTCTGAAAATTCAGAGTTGACAATACCTTTAACAAGATATTAATAAAGCGTAGTTTATTCTTATTGAAGTGTAAGTAGATGTTTCAAACTAACATCTTACTTTCACAATTTCAAGTATGCAGATCTCTGAATCTTGGAATTTTTTGTTGCAATTATGATGATAACAAAATGGTATTCTGTATTGGCACTAGTTTGTTTTTATGAGAGACAAACTTTGACTTGCTGCCTACAATATTTTGTCTCTCTACTGCATCTACCTGTATCTATTTGCTCATTCTTTTGCTATTCATATTTTGTGGTTTTAACTTGGTGGCCTGTTCTCTACAGATCCAGCATACATATTCTCTTTCTGACAGTCCTAGTGTGACATTATAACTGTGCTTAGGACACCCACATAGAAGTAATTGCTCTTTGTGTGCATGTTGAATAAGAAACAAAAACAACCACCACCAAAAAGATATTTTATTTTGATGCAATTATATGCTCTTCAGCAGTTTTTGCAGCACTGGAAAATGATTGAACAGCTGCCATCTTTGTTCACTTCAGATTGAAATGTTAAAATATGAGCATATTTATTTTGTCTGGTGTAAGCAGTGACCTACAAGAGGGGAAAAATGTACTCATTGGCACACTGGGATGTACAAAAGCTTCCTGGCAAGGTGAGACAATTCTAACACATGTCCTTTGCACATTTTTTTTTTTTTTTGCCATAGTGGTTGGCAGAGACTGGATATTCTCTTTCTTGATAACCTCTGTGGTGGTAACACTTTGAGTATTTTCTGCCTTTTTCTAGTAACTTTTCTCAGCAACCCACCTAAGCCATTCTCCTTTGATGCCACTTTTGGTGTGGTAATTGTAACTGAGTTGCTGATAAGGCATTTTGGTTCTTCATTGGCTCCTGCAGGTTCCATCTTTTTTCTCCTGGACACAACTGCTATAGCCTCAAGCTCATGTAAAGAATTTATTTGTTTTTAGTAGGAGGTTGTTGAAACAAACCATATGCATGACACTCTTTGCCTTATTTGTGCGCCTGATTTTAATCACCTTTTCCATTTCCTTGATCAGGGATGATTCCACATCTTTTTCCACCAGAACATCATGGCTTATATAGTTTAGGATAGGCATGATGGCTGACAGTATCTCATGTCTCTGAAGCAAGAAAATCGGTAAATGTACTCAGGGGTTCAAGGAGCTGACTGATTTGCTCGATGACATTGGCATCCTTGGGCATCAGCCTTGGAGATGTTCCTTTTTCTCCAGCTACCTGATTTTTCGCTGAGGAAATGCTTAAGTATCTTATGTGTTGATCCCCATTGGGTCACCACATCAAAGCCTTCTGTGGTGCGTTGAGAACAAGTAGCTCTTCTTTTATGTCTCTTCTCTTCCAGCTTAGAGAGAAGCTGTTGACTAGATAATGTCTGACCTTGATTGTGCAGTACAATGCACCTCAGATGTTACTGAAATAGTCTTCTCTTTTAGAGAAGTCAGGTGCATCAGCAGGTTGACTTGAGAGATGATCAACTAGTTGCTGTATACAGATCTGCATTTCACTTGATGCCAGTGGATTCCCTGACATGTAAACATGTGGGCATCTCAGCTGCACTTAGGATGTGTACATGTGTGAGGTGGGGGGGTGCTCATGTAACAGGTAGATATATAAACACACATCCTAGAGGGAAGAGATTATCTCTGGTCCCCTGATCAGGTTTTGAGGTTATTGTTCCCAGATTCACCCTGACCTGGGATGGTAGCACCTGTTAGGGTCCCAGCTATGGGCCGATAGTGAACTTCCAAATAGAAATCAACAGTACATTTTTGTAATAAAATGACAATGCAACAGTAAAAAATATAAAAAAAATGTATAGTAAAACTACCAACAATACATTTTATGATCTACAAACTATATATCTAAAAAACATACCTTTATCTTGAAAGTATAAAATTATGTACAAAATATCTGTAGTTGAAGACATAAAATTATTTATAAAATATTTAGATTTTGGCATTAAATAACCCTTAGAGATTGATATGTTGCTAAACAAAATCAACCAACCAACAATACCTATTTATATTAAAATTACCAACAATTCATTTTATCTGCAGTTGAAGGAATGCAATTGCGTTCAAAAATATATATAGTTGAAGCCTTAAAATTGTGTTCATGGTTTCGGTATTAAATAGCCCATAGAGGTAGATATGCCACTAAACAAAATGAACTAACCAACAATACCTATTTATAGTAAAATTACAAAAAAATACATATTTAAAGCAAAATGACCAATAATGCATTTTATCTTTAGTTGAAGGCATACACTTGTGTTCAAAATATATTTAGTTGAAGCTATAAAATTGTGTTCAAAATATTTAGATTTCAGCATTAAATAATCAAAAGAGGTTGCTATACCACTACACAAAAACAATCAACCAACATGAAAAATGTCTTTCATGATATGTAATATCCTACAATTTCTTAAAGAAATTGAACTGTATTCCAAAATATAACTAACAAAACTACAACATAAAACACATATCACTTCCTCTAATAATTATGTCCACACAAACATGTATATGCACAAAAGCCATGTATCATCTACCATGTGTTCAACTGTGAAAGGAGAATAATATATCATATTTTTATTACTTTAAAGATCCTAAGATAATGAAATTTCAGCATTAAATGACTCATAAGGTGTTGATATGCTGTTAAACAAATCAATTGACTTAAATTCAGAATCATCTCAATCAGATGATACTACTATAGAAACTCAAATAATGGATACAGAGTATTGAACAATTGGCAGATGCACTCACAAAAGCTGGCTCATTGAGTGTTTCAAGAAGCAAACATAAAAAAAAAACACTGGTGGAATAGGGGCAAGCCTCTTGCTGCTTTACTGTTACTTCCATGGAAAGTACTCAAACAAACTATGTTCCCTAGTCCCACCAAATCAAACCTTCACGGCAAGAACATGCCATGCCCCTTAAAAGTAGTAAACCACACACATTCCTTCCATATTCCATCAGTGAGAAGTTCCATTCGAGCAGCTTCTTCCCTCAAACCACTGCCCTGTGGAACAGGCTCCAACGGGATGTTTCCCTGATCACTACAATCTTAACCTGTTTAGGGCTAGGTTTAAATAATGGCTAGAATTAAAGCCTTTGTTGGGTTCAATTGTTAATTGTTCATTTTGTTGTTCTATATTTATTTGTTTAATTAACAAAGAAAGATGGAAATTGTTAGAGTGGAGTTATTCCCCTTGATATGAAGATATTATAAGTGAGATTACCATGATAGAATGAGAAAAGATGTCATAGAGTTGGAAACCTAGACAAAGAGAGGTGGGTGTTGAAAGACTAGTTAAAATGGGAGGTTTGGTCTCTTATTTTTATTAGAAGCATACAATGATAATGTTAATATTTCTTTGTCAGCTATATGAATTTCCAGAGCCTTTGATATGGCCAAGTTTAAATTAGGATCAAAACCATATTGCATTATCTGTAATTAGACTGATAAGGCTTTCTTTTTAATCTTTTCTTGGAATGTGAAATCAGAGAGCTGAGTTAAATCCCAAAAATCTTACAATCCCAAAATATTTTCTGGCTTAAATAACCACAAAAAGGTTGATAAGCTGTAAAAAAACAAATCAACCAGTCAATCAATTGGTTTTTAATCCTTTATATTTTCAACATATCCTTGCAAAATTTAATTTGGGTTAAGATTTGGTTTGTCCAGGTCACATTCCTTCCCTATCTTTTGAACAAGAGTAGTGATTTATCCCTAGTTTCCTGTTTATGATTGGGTTTCTGGTTCATTCTAAAGTCTGTTTCAATTCTATACTTCTAAAGTCCCTGCCTGAACTCTAAAATTTTATTTGCTAATTAAATTTTGACCTCTTCAAGCCTACAATTAGCTATATTTCCTGTTTTCTTGCCCTTTCTTATGCTAATACAACTCTACACAGTAACCCTCTATCTTGAGTGGCTCTTGGGCCTTGTATTGGATAAAAATTTTTTAAAAAAAAGCTGATGTAAGAAGCTGTAGAGTTATTGGATTTGAAATTTTTTATTGGCGTGTACTTTGATTTTTCTTCAAAACGTGGGTCATCATGGCTCTCCATAATTTCCTGCCCTTTTAAAAAAGATTTGTCTTTTTGTTATCTTGCCCAATACCTGTTCTGCCATCTGTTTGTACAAGCTTGTTATTGTTCTTTTATTTATTGTGTCCCAATCATAGCTCTCCACAATTTACTGTCCTTTGTAGCTCTTAGTAAAGTTTATCTTTTTACTTTCTCTCCTAATCCCTGTTTTGCCAATCATTTACACAATCTCATTTGGTAAGTTTTCCTCTGTCACCTTTGTCTTCAGTATGTTCTCCTGTCAGTCTCAAACTTTCTAAGCTCTCTTTCTTCATTAGATACCCTAGAAATTTCAACTATCTCTTTCTGATGCTACATATAAATGTCCTTTTGGTTTCATCATTGCTCACATCTTCTTGATATTCTCAGCATCCTGTAGAACTACGTTTCTGTTGCCTTAAGTTTTCTCTTCATCTGTGAGGAGATTGTCTGGCATTCACTGTCATTTAGAAGGACCAATATTGCATGATATGTAAGTACTTTGTACCTGCTGGAATATGGTATCTGCAATTTGTAATTTGCATGTTGGGCTGTTCCTTTTGCTGACAACCATTCATTCTGTCTTCTTGCAATTGATTAAACTTTCTTCTCACTTTTCTTCACAATGTTCTGTAAGAGTTCCTGTAGTTTCCTTTCTGGTTCTGCTATCAATACTGTGTCATCTGCAAATCTAATACTGTTAAGATTGTGGCTACCAATAATGAATCCTGGTGAGACTCCTAATTCTCTCAGGATTGTTTCAATGTAAACGTTTAACAAGTCTGGTGAGACGAGACAACCTTGTCTTATGCCTCTCTCTATTTTTCTGAATTCATTTTATATCCATGTGCAGGTGGTTTGCTCCCAGTATAATTTTGGATAATTCTAATATCTCTCTCAAATAAATATTGGTCCTGACCTGGCATCTCAGCTTCAGTCACTTTCTCAATGCTGTAAGGTAGCTTTCCTGAGCCTTTTTTATAAATATTTTCATGGTAATTGCTTGGAAGTACTCTTCATTATGAATTTAAGTGCAGTACTAGATTGGCAGTAAGGTCTCATCATTTTTCAGTTGAAATGGTTAGATGTAATCGTAAGTTCTGTGCTAACATTTTCTTCTATTACACTTCTCGCTTGTGGACCAATATTTCTTCTGGCTTCTTGCTTTTCTGGTCAACTTTGATCTTAAAAAAATGAAATGTCTGTTTTCTTTCTTAATTCATGTACTTTTATTATTCTCTCTCCGTAATAGTATTTTTTTTCTCATCCTGTCTAACACTCAGTAACAACTTGCATCTTAGTGGTGTTATTGGTTTGCATGGGGTTAAATAATTAATAAAATAAACACTTACCGAGCATTTTCAACAGTTCTTTGTGACATACTTTATGCAACACTATTGCATAATCTATAAAGTATGAAATTACAGTGTCATAAGGAAAACCTTTTTATTACAGGACTAAAGGTCTCTATTTATTATAAGTCACTTTTACCCCCCCAAATAAAGAAAAACCCAAAGGGATTCTGAGTTGAATGTTTTTTGCTTATTATGTGATCACCTTTAAAAACAACTAAAGAGTATTTAATTATGAAACTGATGATTTTCTTTTATGCGACTAAAGATTTTCTTTATTATGAGACACATGTTAAAAAAAAATAATTCTAGCTACCAACCTCATCAACCACAATCATAATCATTGAACCTCATCATCCTTTCTGTATCATATGCACTTTACCAGGACTACATATGGTTTTGAATTCAGAATTGTCCTCATCCTACACTGGTTGGCAACCATGGCTAAAAAGCCCTATCTGCCCAGTTATAGATGGTGGAAGAAGAGATTGATTCAGACCTTTCTCAAGAGAAGGTGTGTGTAAATGAATGTAACAAAACAAACTAACCATTGCACCATTATGGATGTTCAATCCATAATGGTGCAATGGTTAGTTTGGATGGTGTATATAAAAGAAAAACTAAATTGCCTTTTATTTTACAACTAAAAGCTTTTTATTTTACTATTAGATACAGTCTAAGAAAATAATATGAAAAAAACCTGTTATTATCTAACTGATTTTTTTTGTTTTTTATTATGAGATACCCTTTAAGGAAAAAGACTAATGTCATATTTTTTTTATTATGAGTTAATGTGATCAATTGTGTTTTTTTTTTATAACCTTTAAAAAAACAAAAAACAAATAAAGGAATTCATTGACATTTCATTAATTGGTTATTTTTGTCATTGATCTTTTTTTTTTTTCTTTTTTTTTTTTTTGTTATAGATATTTAAGTCTTTATAAAAATTCTTTTTACAAAGGAAAAACATCAATTGTTCCATTGCGGAAAGTCTAAAAAGGTTTGAAGCTGTGACACAAGCAGCCCAAAAAGCAAACATTCCTGTCCGAGGGTAAGTATGAGACTTGAAAGAACACTGAATGATTTTTACACTTTATTACTGTGATATGAAAATAAGTGAAACGGCTCAGGAAGAAACCCAAGATCATTCTAATGTGCTGATTTGCAAGAATTGTTGGAAGGCATGAACCTACATTATAAAAAAAGGCCTGGTTCTCTGTCTGGCATGCCCTGTTTGCATATGTCTTTGCCTGTGCAATGTATATGTGTGTGATTTACAGGTGCTTATGTTAATGTATATACACACACACACACATAATTTGACAAAGTGTGAAATGAGATAGTAAAATAATACACTTCCCTCCCACTCAGTCTGGTTAACCCCTATTCTGGACTTCAGTTATGAAACTGGAGATGAAAGAAAGAAGGAAAGGAGAGATTTTTTTTTTTTTTAAATACCAAAAAGAAAAAAAAAAATTTAATATTTTATATTTTTGTTATACTGGAACACACCTATTCTATTGTTAATAGACTCTCCCACCTATAATAAGTAGTAGTAATAGTAGCTGAGTGAGTTGGTCAGGCAGTCGATGTCGGACACTAAGAGTATCAGCGATCACCAATAGATTTCTCTGTGTCATTACTAATTATATCAAGTCCCTAACGTTTTGTATGTCGAACCTTTTTAGGACCGACTTAGTGAAATACAAGCCTCCACTGTGAAACTACTCTACAACAATTTCAAACTATTTGGAAATTACAAATAAAGTAAATAAAATTATTTGTAGTTATTTATTTAAAAGATTTTCTTAGAGTTGTCATTGAATTGAAATATACATATGCACATACACATACACAAACGTAAAATGAGGAGTGATTTCCCTTTCTGTTTGGCAACAAACTTTGGGTAATAGGAAAGGAGTGTATGCCAGCCCTTTGAAGTCATTTTTTATGACTCCTTCTGTACTTAAATGGAATATATTTTCTAATAAATACATTATTTTAAATGGACAAATGATTTAGATTTAAAATTTGATCACCTTCCCATCAGTGTAGCAACAGGTACTAAACGAGTAAGATTAATTTATGTTTTTCTCATAGACTATAGTTATCAAAAGTCACTATGACTTCTTTGATTCTGTAGTCGGCCAGGCACCAATAACTGGACTTATAATCTGTATTCTGTCTATTTAGTCATTTGCATGATTGGACACAAGGAAAAATTATGTAGAGCACAAATTTTTAATGCTGTGCCTGGATTTCGAATGTTTCAGATATTTGGGGGGGGGGAAACTGTTAAATTTAAAGTTTTCTAAGCATTGAACTAAAGATTTTTTTTCTTATGTAAAAGCAATATATTTTCGGCACGAGAATTTTATAAAATCTATTAGGTTGGAGAGAAAGTTGTATTGTTTTTTTGTTTTTGTTGAAATATGTAATTGACTTTTATTTAATGATCAATTACAAATTCAGCCAAGGTCATAGTTTCCTAAATTTTCAATAATAAAATCCCATCTCAACTTCAGTCACTTTCTCACAGACATGATATGGCTTCCCTCTCTCTTTTCTACAAATATTTTCATGACAACTGCTCTGACAAGCCTTTTCCCTTGTGCCCTGACAACATGAATTTAAGCATGCTACTAGATTGGCATCTAGGTCCCACCCTTTTGCTGTTGAAATAGTTAAACTGCCACTTCTACTCCAAAAGTTTCTTTTCTCAAACTTCCTGCCAGTAGAACTCCCTTTTATTTACTTGCTTCCCTGAAAACTATAATCTTCAAAAATTTAACTGCATCTTCAATTGCCATCTTCTGTTGTCTTGAATCCCATTCATCTTTTATCATTTCCTCAACCCCTCCCCCCATACCTAGTCTTTTCTCTCACTTTCTGTAACCCCCTGTGTACTAGTGTCATTCCCACCTTGTTTGGGGGTAAAATGATTAAGAAAAAAAATATCCATGTATGGGTTAACATTCGCAGCTGACATGAAGTGGAAAGACTATATTGAATCCATTGCTTGGTCACCTGCTAAGAAAGTTGGTTCACTGTGTGGTACAAGATAATTTTTCTCTCCAGAATCTGTTGTACATATCTATAAATCTAACATTCGTCCATGCTTAGAAAATTGTTGCCACATTTGATTTGGTGCTGCTGCTATTTACTTTAAGCTCTAAAGAAGAATCAGCAATATTATTGGTCCTGCTCTGGCAGCTCAGCTGAAAGTTGAAACAATAGAAGGGATCATAAAATTTGTAGGATCACTTCAGAAAATGATCAGCAATGTTTTCCAAATTTTTAAATATCCATTTTAAGCAGAGAAAATATTGTTGATCATTTTCTGAAGGGGGTCCTACAAAGTTCATAGCAGAAGATAAACATAGTTATCTGAAAATTTCAAAGGTCTCAGCACATTTACAAATAATGTCGCAGATTGGATAATATATGTGAATGTTAAAATTTAAATTGGAGCCGATGTTGTGCACAAAAATGAGTTAATTTTGAGTTCTAGTAATATTACTTAAATCTATTGCATTTTTCTACAATTCTTTAACGGGGTTCCACATATCCAAATCAACTTACAGTTAAGAGTTCTTGCAGACCTCAAAAAATGGATGGGAATACTTGAAAGGAAACATGGCTCCAACAAAAGAATTGTCAATTGAAACAATAGAAAAGATCATAAAAGTCATTCAAGAAGGCAATCCATAATGTATAACGCCATCCGGTTGGCTGATGATCTAAAGGGCTCACTGAATATCTGATAATGGCTAAACTTCTTGGTTGACTGACCCGGGCTGGTAGCACCTGTTAGGGTCTCAGCTATGGGCAAATAGTTAACCCCGAAACTAATATAAAAAGCATTATGAAAGTGTAAAAATAGGTTTTAATACCAGAAATATTTTGTAAAATATTATTACCAGAGATAAATTTTTGAAGGAAAAAAAAAAAAATATTACCAGCAATATATTTTTGAAAAATAATATTACCAGCAATACATTTTTTAAAATAATATTACCAGCTATACATTGTTGAGGAAAAAAGTTGTCAGCATTAGATAACCCATTGAGGTTGATATGCCATAAAACAAACCAAGCTAAATAAAAGGCCAAGGTGAATATCCTCCAAGTCTGATAATTCTATAATAAAGGTTCTACCAATTATATCCATCTCTAAAACTTTTTGTTAAATACTTTATACCAAGCCCCTTGACAGAATTTACCTCTGTCCCCTACAAATTTGCAAGAGATCTTTTAACATCCCTTCAACTTATTAGATACAGGAGAGTATATAATAAAAATGATCTTAAAGGAGAGACAACATCAATCACTGTTTTTATTGCTAGTCATTGGTTTCTTCATTTGAGGATTTAAACTTTTTCTAATTATATGAGCATCATTAATTCATGATTCAAGTCAGAATGATTACTTGGAAAATCTAGGGTTCATAAGGTTATATCATTTTTTGGTGTATTTGCCTGCAAATAAAACTGGAAGAACAAACCAATGCTATGGCTTCATGCAGACTTCTCAAAGAGAAAAGAAGAAAAAAAATGGTAATAATTTGCTGCAAAAAATACACAACTCCACTTGCAAAAACTTCAAGGATTCCCTTAGAAAAATATTAAATTTAAGACCCTAACAGTTGTTTTATTTCCCTTCCTTCCTTATTTTATGTGAAAGAAATGAGATACAAGTTTTATATTTCCTATATAATTAAAGTGTAAATATGCTTAAAAACTATCTGTTCTTTTACCACAGTACAGGAACTGTATTGCTTTACTTCCCTTTGTCCTTTTTTTAGTTTAGGTACCTTTTAGATTTGTCACTGTTTTGACCACTTTTAGTTAGCCGTTATCACTGGAAGCCTTCAAAAGCATGACATGAAGCATGTGGTCAGTAGTTTTATCATACCTCCTAATCTCACCCCCTAATGTTAGCGATCACTGTTTTTATCTTATTGATTATTAAAAAAACCTGCCGATGAATATAACTTTGTCTTCAGAGTCTTAACTGCCTTAATGTGTTTACCTGGCTGTCTTTGAGATTACGCACATGTATGTTATGGATGCGTACTCTTGGGGGAAGAACACTACCCTTTAAAAAATGAATTAATTTTTTCAAATTTTTTTCTTCCTTTTTTTTTTCTTTTTTTCTTTTCTTTTTTTTTTCCTTTTTTTCTTTTCTTTTTTTTTTCTTTTTTTCTTTTCTTTTTTTCTTTTCTTTTTTTCTTTTCTTTTTTTCTTTTCTTTTTTTCTTTTCTTTTTTTCTTTTCTTTTTTTCTTTTCTTTTTTTTTTCTTTTCTTTTCTTTTCTTTTTTTTTTTTTTTTTTTTCTTTTTTCTTTCTTTTTTTTTTTTTTTTTTTTTTTTTCTTTTTTTTTTTTCTTTTTTTTTCTTTTTTTTTTTTTTTTTTTTTTTTTTTTTTCTTTTTTCTTTTTTCTTTCTTTTTTTTTTTTTCTTTTTACTAGTTTTGCATGCGTGTTTGTGCAACATTTTCCTCCCATTTAAGGATTAAATATACCTTTTTGTTTGTGATATGTGTCATTTTATTTTAAAAAGTAATTACTGTATATACTTTTGTATCATGCAACATTTGAAGACCTAATTTTGAGGTTAATTTTAAGTGGATCACATCATACATAAGATATAAAATTAGCATATGTACTGCAGACCATGGCTTTGCCGTTGACCAAACTATATATTCATTTACTGTAGTCCAATTAGCTTCAAAATTATGACTTCAAAAGTTACATGATAAGCAAATATATATGGTAGGTAACACACTCCATATTGATGTAACAATTAGAGATGCACTAATATTTAAACAAGTGATAAATGAGGTTGAATTTTTATTTGCCTTCCTCCATCTTGATTTTGTCTATTTGTATTACCTGTTGTCTCAGATTTAGAAAAGACCACCCAACATTTTTTAGGTTGTTTTTTTTTTTTGTTTGTTTTTTCAGTTATGTATCTTGTGTACTTGGCTGTCCGTATGAAGGTGACATTCAACCAGAGAAAGTTGCTGAGGTAAGTAATTATCTTTTATGTTTGTGTGACACTGTGGACACTCACCTAGAGGAGGAAAGTGAGATTTTATCCGAATCACAAATGTTTGTATTTTATGACCAACAAATGAGTTCTTTCAAAATTTCTAAGTGGCATTCACTTTGACCAAAGGGAAACAGCGAATAAAGGAGTAGATGGGGGCTTTTGGAGATCAAGTAACAACAAACCAGACATATATTATTTCCAAGTGCTGCCCTATATTAAGTTATTCTTAGGATCAGGGAATTAATTCTTGTCCACCCTTGGCAGGAGATGAACTTGTTTGTCACATGGTTCCAATGCTACCTATTCATATTACCAGCCACACATCAAGATGTGTAAATGGCTGAGGAGTTAATAGGGGAAAGAGCTTGAACTATGAGATGACATACATGTTGTCCCAAGTGTAAATCATTTACATGTTATATGAGAAACATGGTTAATGTTCTCCTTCCTCTATGTAGTGTTTGCTTTTTATCTCCATTGCTAGTTCTGGGTATGTTGATAAACTACATCCAGCATCAAGGTCTCTGGTTGGGAGATTGGAGGTTTTGAAGAGCATCAAACTCTCTCTTAATTGCTGTTGTCCTGAGCTGGGGTGGTAGCACCTGTTAGGGTCCCAGCTATGGGCAAATAGTGAACCCACCCAAACAAAGCTCTATGGAAGTATAAAAATATCAGCAATACATTTTTATATAAAAAAAAAAAAAATCACCAACAATCCACTAACAAATTGTAGCAACTTCACCCAAATTCATTTAAAATACTACCAAACAACCAACATGGACTCTCTCATGACATTAATCTATATAATGTATAAAAATTTCTTAAACTGTATGCCAAAATATAAATTCACAAAGCTACAACATAAAACACACATATCGCTGCCTTTGGTAGTTATGTCCGCACAAACATGTATATGCACAAAAGTTGGGTAGCTACATGTGTTCAATTGTGAAACATATTTTTATTACTTACAAGCTCCCAAGAAAATTAAATTTCATCATTAAATGACCCATAAGGAGTTGATATGCCATTAAACACACAAATCAGTCAATCATCTCCATTACCTTGTGATCATGCAGCAAGCCCTTTCCCAACTTTCAGTGTACACCAGCGAGAATGGAATGTAACATGTAGAAATCATTGGTTGGTCAGTGGTTGGTCAGTGGAAACCTTGGGCGATGGTTGTGTTGTAAACGAGAAGCTTTTAGCCCCCCCCCCCTCTTTGACTTTTTGATGAATGGGATTTTGATATTTAGAAAGGCAAAATGAAAGTCAGAAGATTGTAGAGAGCCAAATTCTCAAGTTGGGTGATTAGTGCTTGACTTGAAAACAATCACTCATACTCTTTATATAGGCTTAAGCTCTGATCATTAGTACCACACCCTTAAATGTGGCCCATTGTCAAGATGGATGAATCCTCTACTAATGCTAATAGTGAGTTTAGTCATTACCATACAAAAACATTCACTATTCATTGATTGTACTGTTCATTGAAATTTATAAAATCTTTCTCTTAAAAGAGTTTTTCAGGAAATTCTTCTTCTCAAATCCGTTGCTATTTCTCTTCCCAGTTGTGATGGGAGTTTCCTTATAAACCTTCTTTTTGTTTTTTTGTTTAGTAATGTGGAAATTTAACATTTTGATTATAGCATTACTTTCCCTTCTAGTTCACTGTGCTATTCATTTTAATTGTTGCTGCAGCTGAAAGTCTAAACATATCTCAATTTCGAGATGAATCCTCCAAATGTAGCCCCGTTGCAAGATGAATCCACCCCCCACCCTGGTGTAGCCCCGTCGCAAGATGAATTAAGATGTAGCCCTCACCCGGTGTAGCCCTGTCGCAAGATGAATCACCCCCCTCTGGCCTTCTTCATTATGTATTTGGAATGTCGCAAGATGAACATCCTCATTCCTGAATGGCGTAGCCCCGTATAAGATGAATCACCCTACCCAGCATATGTAAATTATCAAAAATGATTTCCACCCTCCCAGGTTCTCCCCGAATGAACAAGATGAATCACCCCTTGGTTCCAGGCGTGGATCTTACTAAAGATGAATCACCCCCTACCCAGGCGTAGCCCCAGGACAAGATGAATCCAACCCCATTAAACACCGTAGCCCGTGTAAATGAATCACCCCCTACCCAGGCGTGAGCCCGTCATTAAGATGAATCACCCCACCCAGGCGTAGCCCGTGATGAGATGAATCACCCCTACCCAACGTGGCCCGTCGCAGATGAATCACCCTACCCAGGCTGAAATCGTCGCAAGATGAATCACCCCTACCCAGGCGTAGCCCCGTCGCAAGATGAATCACCCCTACCCAGACGTAGTCCCGTTGCAAGATGAATTAAGGTGTAGCCCTCACCCGGTGTAGCCCTGTCGCAAGATGAATCACCCCTACCCAGGTGTAGCCCCATTACAAGATGAATCCCCTAGACATAGCCTAATCTGACACAAAGCAAATTAAGTGGAATTAATTTAAAAAATGTCTGGCATTATCCAACCCAGGGATTGAACTAGTAAGTAGATTTGCTTAACCAGTGCTCCTATCCAGCAGGCCATGTGTCAAAAAGTCACATGTACTCTGGTTGAGTGGAAAACACATGTGACATTACAAGAACAAATTAACTCACTCTAGATTTCCTCTGGGTGAATGAAAACCATTTACTCGCATAGATTGAGTGAGGTGTTGGCTTCAAAATAGCTTCCAATTGCAGCAAACATCTGAAGAAGGCTGGACCATCTTTACTGTGTAGTTTTAGTTTAATCTTATTAGGTATCTCAACAGCTATTATCATAGGGTTGTTTTATTCATATTTCTTAAAAATATCTATATCTATAATTCTCAATGTGTTTATAGGGATGTGTGTTTGAGTGTGATTGGATATTGTTTATGTGCTTCCATAGTTTTCATCCGATTTCAATGAAAAATTTTGTTTGATAGATAATTCTTCAGTGCTGGTTTTGTGTCCAAATTGTCTGGAAAAAATAACAACCTTAAAGGTGAAAAATCAAAAAAAAAAAAAAACAATTTTTTACACTTTGCACAAAAATCAAAGGCAAAATTTAATGTCTGTAAAACAGTGTGCAATCATTTTAGAGAGCTGAAATCTATTGCAAAAGATTATTAGAATTATATAAAAAAATGATACTATAAATAAAAATTATCATTTATTATTATTATTATTATGATGGTCCATAGAAGAGGTTCCTTCCTTGCAAGATTGTGCACCCAAATGTTGTTACTAATATTGATTTTCAGGTGGGCTGACCTTAAACTTAAACTGCTCCAATTTAACAGCAAAAATTCCCAATAATAAAACATCCAGTCAAAGACTGGTTATACTGCTAGTTATTGATAAAAATCATAGAAAAATAATTTATCTATCATTTCAATGTATTGTAGACATCATTTTACTTAGTATCTTGACAGCTATGTTTGTGGGGTGTTTTTCATCCTTCAATTGTAGGAAAAGAATGAAACAGTGATTAGTCCACTTTTTTGATGTAATGCTTTGTCTCGGTGTCTCAATAGCTATGGTCATGATGTGTTTTGCCTAGATTCTATCTCTGTATAATGGTAAAAGAATAAAGATGGTGAAATAAAATTAATTAGCCTGCTTCTTGAATGGCCGAGAATCAGGTCCAGACACGTCTGCTCATTAGTCAATGAAACATTAAGAGGTGTGTGTGTGTGTGGGGGGGGATTTGTTTTAGTAAAGTGCCTGAGAATCCATTAAAAGTTTCCAAGGAAGAAATGGATAGAGTGTAATCAGGGTTATCCTGCAAAAAGGCAATGTTATTACAAGCTGAGACTGGCACTAGGATTGAAAGTCCAGTTTTCTGCCTGCTGACAAGGCTCCATTTTATCCTGAAGTTCTGTCTTTGGCATTTGAAGGCCATTATATATTTAAAAAAAAACAAAAAAAACATTTGCTAATTTCTTTTCTCCTTCAACAGTATCTTGTACATACCACTTGTACCAACATTAACAACACACTCCATAGTGTTAATTAATCTCAGGTTAATGTGTTCAGCTACCAAAATAGCAAAACCGTTAAATTTTCACTTTTTAAAGCCTCTTGTTTTCCAGTCAGCTGAAAATCTATTCTAAATTGTAAAATAAAACGTGCAATAAAACTATGACATTATGCAATTAGAAAATCTTTTAATTGCTTCTATAAATAAGATATTAAGGATGCTATTGTTTTAAGAATTTTTTTTCAATGAATAATAAATTTCTACAAGAATTGTTTACATTTATTTTTTTCATTTTAATTAAGAAAATCTATTTAGTTTTAAATCTTTTAAAATTCTATATTAATTTCAGCCTTTTAGATTATATTATTATTAAGTAAAAAGTATATTTACAAATCATCACACAGCAATTTTTAAAAATAACTCTATTTATTAATGTATAAACTTGCTGGTTTTTTTAAGTACATGCAACTATACATGACATTAATAAATGGCATTAAAAGTGATAATTAAATTTAAAGCCAAAATTTCTAAAATTTAATAAACATTAGATTACAGAGAATATTTTCTTAAAATTTAAGATTACTGATTTCTTAAAAATTATTTAAAAAGGTGCTAATGTCATTTTCTACAATTATGTTTTACTACAGATAAAGTCTCCATAGAACAACATTAGCTGTCATGATGCAGTCAACGTGACTACTGTTGGCTTAAAAATGCAGCTACTAAATTTTTCTTATCTACTGGTTGGCCACAGGTTTTTCTTAACTGTATTTTAAAGTATTTTTTTTATTGCTTAAATTTAATTTTTTTTTTTTATTATTAATCATTTCGGTTCCAGACTACTAAATAGTGCTACATTGGGATTGAAGGTTATTTAGTAATTTATTTTTTACTATCACTGTAACTTAAATACAAAAATCCCCTGTACTCACTTCAAAACCACCATAAATAAATTTATCACCCATAAATGGCAGGGGCCTTGAAGCTCTAACCCATACAATTAACTGTATAGCATCACCCCCATCATAGGAGAGTGTACTTTGGGATACAGAAAGATAAGAAGGGAGGAGGTTGTGTTGGCCAGACTGCACATAGGTCATACTCAAATTACATGTAAACACCCACTGAAAAATGAAGAACTATCAATGTGTATTGCATGTCAAGAACAATACACAGTGAAACATATTCTAATTAATTGCTAAGATCCAAAAACTATATTATCAAATAAACAATTTAAAAGAACTTGACAAAGTTAATCCATCTGAAGTAATCCAATTCCTGAAAGAAAACCAGACTTTACATGAAAATATAATCTCAAAATCATAAACACATTATTTTTCTACATGACTTGTAAAACTTTCTACACAAAACCCTAAAGCAGTTGTTCCCAAGTGGTGCAGCACGCTTCATGATAGCAGATGAGGCAGAATGATGAAAGACAAAGATTAATAAACAATTTCAACAAATTCATATGCCAAAAATAAATATGATTTCAAAATTTAAAATATTATTATGGGTTACTTGTAATTGCATGCAGGATTCCCAGTTTAAATAGTTATAAATAATTTTTGACTGATTTTATCATTGTGATATCTTTGCATTACCTCAAGTATTATGAATATACAAACTAGGGTCCGCAAATTGGAGTAGAGAGTTATCAATAAAATGTTCTGACTTTGAACCCGCAGATATCTCCCTTTAACCTTCTCTCTGTTTTTATTTTTAAATGTACTTTTTATCACATAAAATTTGGTGATATGTGAGCAAATTTTAATTTCGAAAATGCAGTCCAGGGAAAGAAAAGTTTGGGAATCACTACCTTGATTTCTAATATTAAATAATAATATAAATAACTCGCATAAGAGTTGATAGGCTAATAAACCAACAAACAAGAATATTTCCTATGCATTGTAGGTTTCTATGATTTATATTATTAGTCACACTGTTATGCATTAATCTACTGAGATGAGGGTCTTCATCTTGGTTGGCCCTTTTACCCTCCAGCCTTCGTTGGGTGCCTGTCATATTTGGCAACTTTCTCGGAATTTCAAACTAAGCTCTTTATTAAATACATGAAAGTAAACAGTTCTCTTTGCACTGTCCATATAAGGAATATTTTTTATCAGTTAATTTGTAGTTAATTCTCTTTCCTCATACCACTTTGCTTTTACTTACTTTCATCATCTGATGCACCCCCCCCCAAACTATATTATGTTTATTTCTATACTTGGTCTGCTGAGGTATTATTCTTCCATTTTTGAACAAACTAAAACATCTTTTGTGAATTATTATTGCACAGAATATGCACTGATTTGTTCAGTTACCTTATTTTCCAATGCCGTTTTCTATCATTCTAAATTAATTCCACAAGAGTTTGTGATTCTCCCTATTTTTTCTCTACACATGATCAGCCATGTCTGATTTTATAGTTTCTTTATGGATCTTTTTTATGTTTGTTGTAATTTTTTTTTTTTTTTTTAGTTGTTAAGGTGCTGGTCTTGCCACAGCTACATAAAATAATATCCACAGATTTTCATTAAATTCTCAGCTCATGGAGGCTTGGTCTTGATGAGAGGAATCCAAATCAGTGCATAGTAATAATTCTAATTCTTCATATCAAGTATTCAGATAGACTTCCATTGTCAGTCATATTAAATAAAAACAAAAAGAATCAAATGTAATGTACATTAAGATGATTGTTTTTGTTATGCAGGTTTCAAAGTCCCTCGTTGATCTTGGCTGCTATGAGATTTCTCTTGGGGATACAATTGGTGTTGGCACTCCAGGGGCAATGCGACAACTCATCTCTATCGTGTCAAACTATGTACCTATAGAAAAATTGGCTGTCCACTGTCACGATACTTATGGTCAGGCATTGGCTAATATCTTTTGATTAAAAATTAGTATAATTGATTTGATTGCAAATCTTTTTCTCTTATAAAAAAATCTATTTTATTTTTTTGTTTAAGAATAACTGTCTTGGTTATCTCTAGTCTCCAGTTACCCATTATAGACCTTAGTATATCCATGATATACTAACACCTTAACACAATTGATTGAAAAATAGCTGAAAGAAATGTTAAATATGCATTGTACTCAAAAACATTTTATATACAGATATATCATAGAAGAAATTCTATACAATTATCTATATACTGGTCACTATTTGTCCAACACAGAAATTATAATACATATGGATAAAACAAACAGTGTGAATGGGTGAAAAAATGAGAGGGTCATATGTGTAATATCTCTTGAAAGGAAATTGGTAAGGCCAGTGATGTCTTCTGTGTTTCTTGTTAGGACTGTGTGGTTTCTACAGATCCTTGTCAGGAAACTCCATTCCGAAGAGTCTCTTGAATACAAGAAATATTTTTGGCCCATTCACACTGCTTGTTTTATCCATATATATTAAGATATTATAAAGGAAATCAAAACAATTCCATTCAAAAAAGATCTCAAATAATCTGAAGTAGGAGGAGTTTTTTTACCTGGCCTTTGTAAAAAAGAAGTGGGAGGAGTAATCCACATGCATGGAAAATCTGTATTATCTGCAAACCCCTGAAAACTATGCATTCTGCCCTTTTTTTTTCTCACTAACCAACAAATGATCTGGCAAACAGCTAAACTATAAAAGATTTTTCTAATTTGGATAAGAGTTTCTTTTTAAAAATTTTAAAGTTCAGATTTTTTATATCTTATATTCTTTTCCACATTTGCATAGGATGTTGTATATGCAGTTTTTATCCAACTATATATTATATATACTCTAGTAAATTTGTAGTCTGAACAAATATTGCAATGTTAACAACTCTTTTCAAAGTTATAGACAATAGTGTATTTCTTGATATTTTAAATAATTTCATTGAAGATCATTGATTAAATATATCTTGTTTTCATTTTGCTTTTTGTGATACAGATTCATTAAAGATGATTAATTTTGATATGAATCTGACAAGGAATGATCCAGTGATTTAATATCAATGAAAAAATAGCCTACCTAGGGTATTTGAAGCTTAGTGCCCTTCAAAGAACTCCTTTTAGACTTAATAAATTTATACCAGATTTTACAAAACAAATTGCAGAAATTTAAATATTTATTCATTTTTTTCAAACCCTATTGAATTCTCCTTAATCTCACCAACAGGTTAACAGTGATAGCCAGAAATTGCAAGGAGCCAAATCTAGGATATAGATGGGCAATGCAATGTTCTACCCCCACCTCCCAAAAAGAAACAAACCTTGATGAGATTTTGCTGATCTACACACAGTCATTTGGAATATGGTCACACAGTACATAAATTCACTCAGTGACATCACTCTGCCAACTGAGTAACCTTACGTTAGTGTGCCTGTTCATACATTCACAATAAGGTTTCCAGTGATTGCTTGCCAAATTAGATGAAGGCTGTGCAACCAATTCTCTAGATACTGGATACTTTCTGAACAAATTTCATATAAAGGTTTGTCATTTTTTTTTTTTTTTTTTTTAAATGCCATTTTGTCAACTTCTCCTTGGGTCTTCAAATTAACAAAACAATTTTTTTTGTTCCTGCTTGTGAAAAAGATCTACCACCAAATTGTGTTGTAATGCATTGGTGCGAGGTAATAGCTAGTGAGGTTAATCTGGTTAATCATCAGTAGTGAGTTTGATCTTCACTGGGTGCCCTGATCTAAAATTCATCAATAAATAACCCAACAAGGGTTTAGATACCATAAGATCAATCAATCAACAACTGAAGTGTGTCAAAGTAAGAGCCATCTTGTATAGATCATGTCAAAATAGGGATAATGTTAGTCTGGTTGACTATTACTACAGAGTAGTGGGTTCAATCTTCATTGGGTACCCCATCTAAACAAAATAGAAAGTCCATTTGTAGAGAACATGTTGAAATAGTGGTTGGAAGAAGGATTCCATTCCCCCATCCCACATATTTTTATATGTGTATATGCATAAACACACAGAGGCAGATCTCTGTTTGTCAAAGAGACCATTTATATAAGGAAATGCAGGAAGATAAACCATTTTATTAATTTTTCCACAGACAGAATTTATTTTTAAATTTTACCAATTTTAACTTAATTTAAATTACGTTTGTGAGCTATCAACATCTATATCATATATGTTTGAATACTGTATATTTAGGTAGCAACTTTTCTTTTATACATGTTTCATTGAATGTAATAGGCAAGGATTTTTCTCAGATTATATCAGAAAGCCTTTTTTTCACTCCTGAAGATCTGATTTTGGTCATTTTCATGGAAATTGAATGCACTAATATTTGATGATCAATTCATGTAAAATCGCAAATTATCAATTTAAAAGTGTGTCACCATTCTATGGAAGTTGCTTTGGCTGATTCAGTAGTGTGTACTTCTCTACAGCCAATTGGTATTATTATGTTTAGTTGAAAACAAATTTACATATTTGGCCTTTCAGACCTGACTTAGTTTGTCTCCTACTGAGGACACGAAAAATGCCACCTGAGGGCATAAGAACCAAGATGAGACATGAAGATGGTCAACTATCTGTCATTAGGATTCCCTGGTTTTTTGGGCAGCTGTCACACTTCTTTTTATCCCATAACTAGCTCCTTAAATGACTCTGCATATATTGTATATTATTCATGCCAATATATTTCTAATAATATTTTTTCTTGTTCTTTTTTCCATTTTAATATTTTTTTCCCCAGATGGGTGTCTCAGTTGTAGATAGTTCTGTATCTGGTCTTGGAGGCTGTCCTTACGCCCGCGGCGCCAGTGGTAATGTCTCCACGGAAGATGTTGTCTACCTGCTCCATGGTCTCTCAATAAAGACGGTAAGGTCTTTCATAATTACAAATTTCAATTTCTTTTTTAATTGTGCTTAGCTAAAAATAAAGTCAGTGGTTAATTTAGGTACCTCCACGAGATCGCTAAAAAAAGAGCATAGCATGATGAAAAAAAAGACGCCAAACTTGACGAAAACAAAATTTTATCGTCTAAATGTTTATTTATTATTAAGAGGAAAGGTCAAAAGTATTTTTTGGGGTATTTTTTTTACATTTTTTAATCGTTCCTAGCATGTCCAAAATTTTCGTTAAAAATCTAGTTTTTTTTTGAGTCAAAATTGACAAAAAATTGACCATTTTTTCCATTTTAAAAAAAAAAATGAAAATCTGACTTTGAAATTTTTTTAAATATCAATTATCATTTTTTCAAAACTTATTTTAAGAAAATCAGAAATTATAATGTTTATTTAAAATATTTTGAACCAAACTTAACTTAGCTTTTGTGCCAAAAAATGTAATTTGAAAATAAAACAAAGCAGGTCATAAACTTTCGCGTCTCTTGACATGTGATGAATGATTATTTACGAATTCCATGAGGCTAATTTGTTCTACGGAAGGAGAAAAGTGAAATAATTTACATTTAAGTGAACAAATTATTTACCTCGTTATTTTTAACGAAAACTTTCAGCGGTCTAATTTTTTTTTTTTTTTTTTTTTGTACTTAGCTTTCACCTTTACGTTTATGATGCTTTATGGAAAATATATTATAAAGAAATTAAAATAAGACTGTTAAGAGTGACATTAAATTTCATATTTCTTAAGAAAGGTATCTAATTAATTTATAGGTACCTTTCTTATGAAATTTTATCAGAAATGTACATAAAATACTATAATTTTATGTACATTTATTACATTTACTGTTATTTGTATTTGCATTCATTTTATTATTAATTTTGATATTTCATTTATGGAAAAATGTCATAACTGAGATTAATATAAAAAATAAGATCATATAAATTTCATAAGATGATACTGATACTTGTAGGTACCCTTCTCAGTTGAAATTGAAAAATCAAATTAACTTCTCCACACGTGTTTCGCAAAAAGTAAAGGCCTTAACAGCGGAGAACAATGCTTAACTCAAATAACGCAACTTAATTATATTCTCTGTTGGTCTTCCGTACTTTATAATTACAGCCCGATTATAAACACAAAATTACATTTCTTAATTACTGCGGATCTTCTGATTAGTCAAAATGATACAATTTACAACTCGCTAAAAATGATCTATCTCATAAGGACACGTAGGAAAGCCGATGCGGCTTTTAACTAATTTTATAATATTTTAACAACGTAAATGTAAAATCTATTATAATTAAAGAAATAACAAATAATTGTATTAAAAATTCATTTTTCATCGAAAACTTTTTTTTGCTTTCAGAAAATATTGTCCATATTCATAAAAACAACTAAAAAAAGCAAATAAAAGCATTTGAAATTAAATAATATCTTTGTTTTATTGAGTTTTGTATGTTACAATTCAGAGCTGATTTTCAGGTACTGGGGATCCAATTAAAAAAAAAAAAAACATGATTTGCATTCCTCAAAGCCCTGTGCTTTTTTTAATTATTGTAATCACTAAAACCGATGCGATCGAATTTCTAGCGTTTTCATAAAATTAGTTATGGGGGGGTAATAAATATTTTAAAAAATATTTCTACCATGACTTTAAAAAAAAAACATATTTATAATAATTTTGATCATCTGTGAATAGTTCCTGAAAGTTTCATTAACATCCGATAATTATTTCTATTTTTTGCAAGATTTTTCAAATTAATGTGTGTCATAAAAAAAAACGTGCTAAAAATTGTCTATGTTATTTACTAGTTCCGCTGATACAAATAGAAACAAGGTTTTTTTTAATCAAAATTTAGAATGTTCTAAAAAAAGAAAAAATTTTTTAAAATAATTAAAAAAAACTTTGGTCTTTCCTCTTAATAATAACATAAGCATTTAGACAATAAAATTTTGTTTTCGGCAAGGTTGGCGTCTTTTTCATCAAGCTATGCTCTTTTTTTAGCGATTTCATTGGAGGT